ATTTTGTTTTGACTACCGGATGGCGTAGTGGTTTGTGTAACGGACTGCTATTCCAGTTTATATCACTTACACACAACAGCGAGCCGTGTGCTATGCTATAGAATATAAAAAAGACCTTTAAAATATACTTATTAAGACACAGGTATAGGCCTATCTTAATCATTTACACTTCACAGTGATGTAAGTGTTAGTAACTCATTGCACTCATGTAGACAGATGTAATAAACAACATTATCGCTTGATCGATTAAATAACAATACCTATCAAAGGAAAGTATTTGACACAAGCATTAGGACAAACAAGCGATTGAACCTGTTGATAAACAAATGACTATTGACTGTAACGTGTGACGTCATTAGACATGTTTGTATTTACTGGGGTAGGTTGGCGTGGGATGAACAAGACAAATGTGTGTATATGGTAAAAGCGAGTTTATTAATGTGAGATATCGTCAAAATATTCACTTTTAAAAAGTGTCGACGGATTTAGAATACAGTCATCACCCGTATTCATCCCGTGGGTGACGTAAGAGTTGACTAGGGAGCAAGCTACGCAGGACAACAGCACTGCAAAGAGAAGGAAAACTTAACGCTATACCAACCCGTCTGGCCAGCGTAGCATAGTAGGCCAATACCTCCTCTCTAGGGAGAGGCCTATGTCCAGCAGTGGTCTATGAAAGGTTGTGATGAAAAAAATATCTCGAAATAGAATGCGATTACATCACAATAAATCTAATAAACCGTATTCTTCTTTCATAAATTTTCTACCCTCAGTTATTATTTTTTCTTTAAATTGACCAAACGATGAGTATGGGTATACTCATCGTTTGGTCTCAGATAAAAAAGGAATAGTCTAAATCGGTTCATCAATGACAGGATTCTGTGATACTAAATTGGGATCACAGCCAGTGCAACCTGTTTGAAACGTCTGGCAATTCAAAGGTGCGTACTTAAACCTTGCAATCTACCTAGCGTGAACGCGTTAATTGCCGTAATACGAACATAATTTATATATGAAACTAGGTATACCCTGTCATGGTTTGCTGATGTAGATTGTGGTTGCATTTATGGGAGATGAGGAACAAAACTGGCGCCAAAAATAGTTAAAAAACATCTTTGACGCGGGTTGTATATGGTGTCAAAATTCCAGCTCTATCAATGCAGAACTTTTGAAGATTTTGAAGCGTACACAAACCAACTTTACATTTTTATAAAAATACCTACAGATTTTGAGATGTCAAACATAAAATATATATCCGAATTGAGAACCTCTTTCTTTTTTTGCAGTTGGTTAAAAAGGGCACAAAGTAGCGGTTTCCATTTGTCTCATAAACGTCAGTTAAGTCACGTAACCGTTGTATAGTCTGATGCCATAAAAACGTAATTAAAAGTTTGATAACCTATTTGCTTATCAAATAAGTACAGTTAACACACGTAAATATCCTGACACACACATAGTTAAATAGTGTTTAGAGTTAAAAACATAATTGGAAGAAGGTAGGTCACTAAAATTACTGTTAAAATATTCCGTTGTGGAAAATTGGCATGAAGACTATAGATACGATACGATCTGCAAACCTTCAAGAAAAGAGCGTAACCTAAAGTCAAGCGACTGTACCTCCACACATGCAACACATTTACGTGGAATAGCCAGGCTCGACCGGAGTAATACCACGGCCTTACAGAAAACCAGTATTAAGCAGTTGCTTTTCTCCAAGGCAGTGAGGTAAATCTAAACCTTTCCCGGCCCCTAGGCCTCAATTCTGCTACTATAACGCCGAGCCACTGTCATTCCATTGACACGCTATTGAGATGTCATTGAGACGCCATTTCCATCGGTCAAAATATCAGTATTCTAATAACAAAAATGTACAGTGTGAGTGTCGATATAGTAGTATAGGTGATATCAACAACATTGCAGTTGCAGGAAAATTTGCAGGAAAATTAAATATATCATTTTCTTACAAATTTAAAATGTACTGTATAGCAAACTCTTACAAAGACATCGACGACATTTGTATCAGCGACAGGTCATTGGTCTTACACAGTTAGTAGAATAGGAAAAGCGCAAAACTATTCCGACGACATTTCATCGACAGTGTATTGATACAATATTAAAAAGCAGAATTAAGGCCCTAGTTCTGGTGGGAGGGACTGAAAGAACAGCAAAGCATATGTCACTCTTCAGTTGCAGGTGTTATGGGCGGCGGTAGCCACTTACCCTCAGATAACTCGTCTGCTCGTTAGCGTCTTAAATAATAAAACATGATTTATTAAGAAACACTTGGATAGAAGGTGCGTTTGCTCTGAAGAATCAGAAGTATTGAAACAGCCTAAGATCAACAAGATTACATTACAGTTGTTTCTTGAATACAACACTAATTGTATATTTAATTTGTATATTTTTATTGCATAAAACAATTTTATAAAAAAATAACACTAAGCCAGTTTCTGCTACATTTATTATATAGTAGACTAGTTGGTACCAGTGTAGTGTAGTAATACATCTGATCGTTGATCTAACAACATCTTTAATTTCTCTCTCGACACCCAACCTTACACCAGCGACTTCGTTTTCGTTCGTCGGAATTTGAAAGGGCAAAGCAAAATTTAATAGGGATTTTTTAGACAGGAAAAAAAGCCTTTTAAAATTAGCCTTTACTTCTTATATAAGCAGCTACCTGGTAGTAAAATATTTTCAATATCGGTCCAGCCGTTTAGAAGATTATCCGGAACAAACAGACAGACAACAACAATTTTTTTAAACAGGTTTTTAGGCATAGGTATCGTGCAATTAACCGTGTAAGTATGAAAAGTCTATCATTTTGACATTACAAACAGACACTTCAATTTTATTCATTTGTATGGATATCACAATGTCGGTAGTATTTGAACCGTTTTCATTTTGTTTTATTTCCATAAGTTGGACTGTAATTGTATGGACTTTTGTACTATAACAGGTCAAAATACATACAGTATCGGACAGTATCTCTATTTTAATAACATACAGGCAAAAAGTTTTTTCTAATACATAAAAACAAATTCAAAGGAAATTTACTTCAGTGGATCGAAATAAAACTTGGAAAACTTGTCTTCGCTAATTTATTCATACAATTATTAATTTGCAAATATTTTAACGTATTTCTTTCCGTTCCCATAAAAAGTATTTACGAGTGGATACCACCGATATTCTTTATCCACCGTCGTTTATAACTAACAGATATGATGACAAGCAGCGATTATAAAATCGTGTTGAATAGTTACGAAAACTTAAAATTGCACCGGTTGAGTCATTTTGTTATTGTTAACATTAACGCCAAACAGTTATAATTTGTAGAACCGTATCAACACTGTAAATGTTAGAACAAGAATGTGTAAGCTTGAATTTGACTCATCATAAGAATTTCAAAGATTTTCGGTTGTTTCGATGATCCACCAAACTGTAATGTACACTCGAGAGCAATGGTCCTGGACACATAAATGAATCTGGTTGTAAATATAGGTGACTAAGAACGGTTTCGCACTACGTCCGATTAGAATCCGATTCGAACCCGTGAAAATACGTTCTGAAGTAGTCGTAGAACAATTTCCATGGTAGTTTACGCACTAGATCCGACTTCCGTCATCCGATTTTACACGGGTACGGATCGAATTCTAAGAGTGCAGGCTAAGGCAGGAAATAAGTTGTGTCTAACAATAACTCGTTTGACAATACATAATAATTAAAAATTAATATATAACTCAAATGAAATTAATAAAATGTATTTGACAGCTTATATTATATTGATAAAAAGTTATATAAAGAAAAAATAATCAATCTCATCATCAACTTTATCATCATAATCACAACCAGAAAAAGGAAAATACCGTATTCTACTACAACTTTATAAATTTTTCAACTTTAACACCTATTGTATTACTTCCACGCTCTGCTATTGGTTTGGTAATATTAACCACAGTGGGTTTCGCATGCTGTACTGTACCTACATCATGTTTCTAATACAATGTAAGGGAATATTCTTGTATGCCTTTATGAGAGCTTTTGAGCTCTCGAGTCGTGGTCGGGGGACTGTTCTGTTTGTATAACGCATCGTCTTAGCTCCACACAATAATAACGTTCACCTCTTCAGTGTAACATAATCCGACCCGAATCATTGCTCACGAATGTACTTAACAAAATACAATACAAAGATATCAGGAAATCCACATTCGTGTCAAAGTAAAAAAAAGAAACAAGAAACTAATAAAGTATCAATCAATTCCCACTTAATGCTGCTTACCCTGCCTTCGGAAATATCAAGAAAAATAAAATTATTTTATAACCAGTCAAGTACTTACATTTAAATAGGTCCGTAACATTGGCGTAAACATTTATCAAGAATTGCTCGTAACACCCTCCGTAGATTATTAAGTTTATATTTCTTCTAGTTCTAGTTCTAAAATCAGGTAGAATTTATAGATTTTCTTTCAATCAGTTCAATTAATTTGCAGCAGAATTTAATTAACCTTCGCTCCACTCCTTATTGGCTTCTTCAGACCTTGACGGTCTTTATTCCTAACACAATAATTCTTTTGTTGCAATCGTAAAAGTTTAATGTTTATCAATATGAGCATGCCGTATGTATATATTTACAATCCAACAAGTTACTCCTGACGAAAAAATAGCCCCATGTTACCAATTAGATGAAATTTAAAAAGTTTGCATTTCATAAAAATGCTTTATTTTTTAAATGAATATTTAAAAGTGTATTTAGAACTACTAGAGTTAGGTATTTCTAGTTTATTTAACATTAATTTAATAGGTTAAGACGTGTTAAATTTAGTTTCATAAATGTATCAATAATTTAGTTAGAAATACGATGAAATCCAATGACGATAATATGACAGAAATTCAAAACAAACCGCACATCGCAAAATTACACAAGCGTTAGAACAAAATCCCAGGATGTTGACCGACATTAGTGTTGTAGATTTATTTGTAGTGTCGCCAGTGAAGTACCGATGGGTGGCAGTGGGGGGGACGTCGCCACGCTCGCCCGACCGACTCATCGAATCGCCGTTCAAGCCAAGCCAGTTGTCACAAGACAGCCGAGCGAGAAAGACGCGGCCGAATCGACCTGCGTGTTCTCAAAACTTTACGCGACTAACAACTGCAGTATACAAAAACATTTGACTGAGAGTGTTAAGTTGCAAGTTCTAGTGTTGTGTTAGTGATGACATTGTTGAGGAACTATACTCTCTCTTGCCTCCTAGACAAGATCTGATGTCAGGGATGGATGCGAGAGATCGACTAGTGGAGGAGATTGTACTCCTAGCGCTGTTCCTTGTGTCGACTGCAGCCAACTCATTGGCTTTACTTGTTTTCTGCCGACGACCAGGACTTAGAACAATTTCAAATCGGTAAGTTAGACTTTACATACATGTTTATATTAAGTTGTTTTTATGTGCACATTCCTGGCATATTCCTTGAGTAAACTTAACAAATGAAAAGTGTTTTAATAAGTATAACCAGGATGTAAGACAAAGCCACTTCACATTTCAAGGTCAGTTTGTTCCCAAAATCCGAAACCGTTATTAATGTAGTTACTTAAACGTAATGTTTCACAAGAAGAGATCGTCTATCAAAAACGTTTGTACAGACACAGGAGAGAGTTGAACCCAGATGTCGTAAATTCTTATTGCAATAAATTAAAATGTGCTTTAACAGCGAAAGCAACAAGTAGGAATTCTACTTTCAACTTAACAGATATTAGTGGATAATGTACTTAAATGAATCTTTGTAACACAATATTTTCTTTTTCAAAGTACACTTACATCAAACGGATAGAATTTGGTCATTTATATTTACATTATATTTAAATTTAAAAAAGGTAAGTTCTATGAGAACTATCCTAATGTTGGGCCAATCGCCAAAAAGGCCAGTATTATTAGACATCGTGTAGTGGTTTCTACCTGCCTTACCTCCTTGCGTTTGTTTTGTGGCTGCTATTCTTAATTTATGATTCGTAAAGTTGAATTGTTTGACATATTGCACAATGAAATATAGTTTCAGTATTATCGTCTGCATAATAAATTGATTGACACGACTATACGTGTAATATGTTATAGTAATTAATCGTAAAATATAAAAATGTAACCACACTTTATCAAGATTGAATTAAAGTGGAACTTCTGTCACGTAAATTTAATTTTATCACGTCTGAACAAATTACACATCTGGCCGTCGTTACTGAATTAAACCATTCAATCATCAATTACAAAATTCAGAAACACTAAAATCATAACATATTGCACTACATTTTTTATGTTTTAAAAAGAAAAAATCATAACAGAAAGTTTATACGTGCATCATAAAACAATAGTAAGTACCGGCAATATGGAATATTAAGTGAAAATAATTTCAATGCTCCTAATTTTATAAAACACCGAAAATAAGTTCTATATAAAACCTAGACATCATAATACCGATATTTCTAAAATTTGTTCACACGCTTCACACGAGCAATTGCAACGCTTTGCCAGAAGGTCACACCAAAAGGCTCAGTTTCTCATACAACATGATATTAAAAAATGTAACGGTTTTTAGTCATTTGGCTGAACGTCTTTAAATTCTGCCGTCAGTTTTCTGGTAGGTATATAAAATGGTTAAAAAAGCGTTGAGAGTAGGCTTAGAGTTAGTTGGTTTTGTAGTTTCAGAGGCAATATTTCATTTTACAACAATTATAGCTCGAGCAAATCTGGACCACAAATTTGGTTTTATTTTTCTTCGTTTTTTTATAGATGTAATCAAATGGTATTCAGAATAACATTGTGGTTACAATTAAAATATTATACTAAGCAAAATAAAAACCAAAATAAAATAATTCGCTGGAGATGAGTATTCTAAAGTACAACTACGTACAAGGTAGTACCTACTTTAAGTTTATCTACATAATTATGTTGAGACTACAATGTACTAACAGACTAATTAAATAAAAGTTTTTGAACCTGGAAAACTTACGACTAATTCTTAGTCTAAGCAAAATCAAATGAAATGAGAGAGCTAAAATAAATGCATCATCCAGTTTCTTTATATGATATACTTATATATAAGTCCGTCATATTCTTATCAAAATGCCCCAAAACCCAAATTAGTGAACTGATTACGCTGTCAACACAATTTGACCTTTAGTTACGGTAGTAGCAGTTAAGGCCGTAACATAGTTCAAGTTCTTAGCGATATTCAAACACCGAATACAATATTAAAAAAGTTTGGATTCTATTAAAATATTAATATAATCTGTGCTTCATTAGTTACCAGACATACATTGGTCTTAGTAATGTATAACTAAAATCACATAAACTTACAACAACCGAGCGCATCGAGGCAAAACAAAGCCTTAGTCTGATAAGCAATCATTGTAACAAACAGATAATACGCTGAAATCTGTTTGTTTTAATGTGTGTAAATATTGCCTCTGTCAATGCACTGGACGACATACCCTAAAGGTTGAATTTCATAATAGAAAATTAACACAAAACCAGCCTTTTTTTTCAGTTTAAAAAAACTATAAAAAAGTGACACTTCATGATTTATCTTATTTTTTATGGCGAAACAAAACCTTTAGTTACCATTAGAACAATAAATAAGTACCTAATGACTAAGAATGGTTTGTCTCTTAAATGCGGCAAAAAATGTATTTGGCCTTTGAATGATTTGATGAAAATATTCTTAAAAACGAAGTTGAAGTGAGACATAAATTACCTGATGTTGCTATAAATAAAATTTATTAGTCAGTTTTGTTTACATGTTTGAACGGGTGGGAACTTTATCTTTAAAATCCCTTAAAATTTTACACATTTTTCATTTAATTATTGTTTTTAAAATAATTACAACTGAAATTGGCACCACACCTCACGCATGGAGCAAAAATTCATTTTTTGTAAAACGTTTAATAACTATGATAAGTATACTCATTTTAATGATGGCAATTGTTGGTACATATTTTAGCCACCTATTTTTTAAACACTTTAATTAAAAATAAACAAACTTCATGTATAATCATGGGCGGTGGTAGTCACTTACCATCTGGTGAACCGACTGGTCGTTTGCCCCCTCCTCCATAAAAACAACCTGTTTTAAGTAATGTTAGAGGTAATCTTTTGCCACTAACCTATTTGAGGGATGACGGCACAAACGATGAAACCTATCATCTTATTAGATTTTAATATCAATTTTGTATTTAATAGCATATTTAATTAGGATTCCTCACTAATCCTAAAACAGTGCCATAGAGTAAGTATAGATATAGAATACCAAAGTAAAATAATACTGCAAAGTCATTCCGTCGAGTAATCTAAAATAGCAAAACGGTCAATTTACCACTCGAAAGATTCGTAACAAAAAAGAGCGCCAATTCTAAAGGGGCACCATGGGTCAACTGGGTAGGTAATTATTGGACAAAATTACTTTTGTCATTACAACAAAACTCATTAACGATCAACTAGTGTAAAACAAACAATTCCTTTAAACTAATCACTATAAGCAACTCAATTTAACGTTAACCTGGACACGCCTACGTGCAGCGTACAGCGCTGGCAAATTTTCGACGAATCTAAATTTTAGAGGTGGATGTCACGGATCGTTAACAGTTTAATCATTGATAAGGCAAAAGGTTGATGTTATCCTCCCTTTATAAACCTTGCATTCATCTTTACATACATATCACGTCCTTATTTAAAATTAGGCCAAAAAATTAGACGTTAAAACTCAATTTCGTTTCGTCATTCAAAGGATTATAACGAAACAATAATTAGACAAGTTCTTAAGTGTCTTAATTCAAGTAGAAAAATAAAAGTTATAAGAGACGTGTGATGTGTCTTAATGCATTAGTGATTGCAATCGCAACGGCGATCAATATCTGTATACTTCGTATCAATGGCTGTCTGTATTACATTTTCAATTAATAAAAACGCAAAAGTTGTTACTATGGAGCCGATTCTCATGATCATACTATGATTCATTCAATTCTGACCCCAAACGATTGCTCTGCCAATTTGAATAGCAACTGACGTGGGTAACAGTGTTCATTGAATTACGATTTGTCTGCTTGCTCCGTAATTTAAAGGTAGGTATAATAATAAAGCACACGACAGTGGATCAACCTTTATGTTATTCTAATAAGATTTTCATTAAGTATGTTTTATTCGTTTGGGATTCATTACAGTCTGTGCTACAACTTTATTAATTTAAAAAACCTATACCCATACATTTTAAGGCGTAATTTCAAATTATATAGGAATAATGACAATACATGTTATCTATTATATAATTTTTATTATATATGGCACGTGCCACAGATAAGGGAAATGAGTTTTGTGGTATCTTTACCATAATGTTTCAATGATTTATACAAATGTAATCGAATTGAAATGCAAAGATATCAGTTTCCGTTAGAAACTTATAAAAAATTAATGAATTAATCGTATACTATTCTTTTGCACCGTGTTGTTTACGCCTTAAACTGTTTGTTATATTGTATGTCCGATACATTGTTTTAAAAATATTTATTTTATTTTATGGCACTGTAGAAATCTGTTTTATGTTTTTTGGTCAAAATATTTGTTACTGAAGTAAATTATTTTCTATTTTATTTCATGATATTATATAGCACACCATACCTTTTGGGTTTTGTTAATGACTTTAACAAAGACAATTACTTCTGTTGTTCTCAATTCAAGAAGGTTCTCGTATGTTGTAGATTAAAAAGCAAATATGTTATGTTAAATAAAAATAGAATTAATATAATATTAAAATAATACTATGATGTATTTTCTTATTAATTATTATATATTTTATTATATTATCGAGATACTTGTATCCTTGAACAGTGGGACTAATGCCATTATTGTATTTCATGTCAATATGATTATAGAACGGAATAAACGTATTAGCGATAATCTGTAGGGCTAAATACGAATCTATATTTTATTACTATTTTGTTTACTACTTGCATAGATTTACAATAAAATCTTTTAATTATCAAATATTGTAACAAATTCCTTTTTCATTAACGAATGAACATTGAAAATAATTCTTTGACGTCAAGCAACCATTCTGTTTGTTTTAAAACAATGTATATTTGTACAAATGTACGTTTTGTTTTCACTTAAATACTATCACTAATCATGATTATTTGTATTATTTTACATAGGTTGCCTCCTAGAAGATTATCTAAATTAATCTACTCGTCAATTTCTCAGTTTTGATAAGACTTATTTAGGCCATAAGGAACATTATTTTACTTTTGTAATACCGTACTAAAAAAAAAAACTACTACGCAGACAAAATTTATAAATAGAACGTCAAATTTGGTATTCTGTATCGTATTAGATGATGCGTGAACTTTGTGACGGTTGTC